TAATTATAGTATAACATGCCCCAAAAACCCGATGGCCGCGTCAACCGGGAAGAAGAGTATGTGTCAAAGCGACAGCTTCAGGCATTTAGGGTTTAGGGTTTTGGGGTTTAGTAGGGTTTGAGGGCTGCGCCCTAAGACCCTAAACCCTGAACCGAATGCATTCAAGGGCTTGGAATTCAATGACTTACGGTTCCATTGCTCTTTGAGTTGGCTTACGGCTGCAGGATGTCTTTCGAACTTCTGGCTTAGAACCTCGTGCACCTGAATCGCGTAAGGTAGTTTCAAGCCACAGCAATGAGCCCGAAATACAATGTCAGGAATGCTTGAATCAAGGGGTATGGGCTTTGTGGCGATACGAAACCAAGGAGCACTTTGTAGAGAAGTCCTCTGCAGACACGATTTGCCCTGAGAACAGGGGGTTTTGAAAACTGCAGCAGAACCCTAAAGCGGCCACGATCTTATTGCAGAGGTGCCAGGGGTATTTGGATTGGACCTCTAAGCTTACGGTGGCAGCAACAAACTAAAAGCGACAACAGCCATCGAATTAGTCAAGACGGAGAAGCTTTCGCTTTGACACTTTGATCTTTATCTCCGAGTACTCCCAGCGCATCCATTTGTAGGGCTGCGTTTGAACCACACAGGACTCCATGGGGTCGATCTCGCTTCCGTAGAGTTGGCCGCACATGACGCACTGCACACCAAAAGGCAAGGAAGAGGAGGCCGCCAGGTCGTTCTTACAGACGAGCCCCAGGCCCGTATCGCCTTCAATAGGGATCACACAGCGCTCGGCGGAGTCGGCAATTTCAGAAACCTGCTCCTTCGTGGGGAGGCTCCCAGAAAGCTCTGAAGTGCGAAGTGCGTCAAGCACTGCCAGCCGAACAAAACCCAGGAGCAGTGGACGCAACATCTGCATCCCCCAACGGAAGCACTTCGGACCTTACATGTGTCAGAGATGGCATTTCTGTCCTCTGGAATATTAACTATCGAAGACAAGTTTGATCCAGCAAAAGATGTGCCAACGTGGAAAGCCCAGAACCTTGCCACTATGATTTGCTGATTTCGCTATTACAAGCCGGGAGGCGAAGGCGGTTTCGCAAACAACGGCGTAGCTGTCACAAGCTCATGGCAAGCGAATGCTTGAGTCTCATGCGACACGGCTGGTCAATCATGCGTAGGCGTAGCCGTAGCCAAGGCCAGAAACATGCATGCAAGCACTTCAACACACGCAATGGTAAAGGCACACAACTCGGAACTCATTCTGGGCATCCCTGCAAAGGTGATCTCCTTGAGGGACAGGTGCTTGTCATAGAGGAGGGGCTCAATGTATGGGCGCAGCCTGGAACATGCCCAATCCAAGCTCCGAAATTCTCACAGCATTCACAGGCTACCACAAGGATAAGTTCTCAAGTAGCATTCAGTTGCAGTTCATGAACACAGATGTCCAGCGTCATGGCACCACTTGTACTTACCGGGGCGAGGACAACCTGAAGCTTCGAAACGCTCCCATCATTGCCCAGAAGGAGCCTCTCTGCCTCCTCGTTCAGCTCCCTGCGTGCATAGCCTGCGACACGGGACAGCTCTGGACTACCTTGCAACCTGAGAAGAGACTCCCAGACAAAATTTCGCTCCTGACCCAGCCCTATGGCCCTATGCCTGAATGGGATCCCCGGCTTCCTCTGAACCTTCTGAAACAATATGACACATGATTGAATATGACACATGGCGAAACTCTTGCGATCTGCCGCAGATCAGCAGCGAAACGGCACTGCATCTTGTTGTCATGAACTGAGCTGAACGTAGTAGGGCCCTGTGCAGCCATTCTCCTGTGCCCTGAGACCCCGACACAAGGTGCCACGACGCCTGGAGACCGGTGATGGCGGGGATTTGCTCCAGGCCGAAGACTAGACAACAAGGCATTCGCTACCACGCATGCTCACATGGGACTTTCCGAAAATTAGGGTACCTTATTTTGGGGTCTTTATAATAAGGAACCCATTATATAGGGTACTATATTAATTAGGGTTCCCTATTTTTGGAAACCCCCCGCATTGCTATCTTGCCAAACAGGTGTAACTAAGAGTAGGAGCAGGCACAAGTCGTGGTGGCGACGGTAGAAAGCATCCAACTCTCGTGTTACTGTTTGCCAGACTGTAGATCCGCCTGGCTTGCTCTTCAGATTAAGGCGAGGCCGTCAGGTTCACTAGATTCACATGTTTTCACCCTCCCCATCGAGATCAATGTGGCACCGATGGCTGGCACCTTGTTCTAGCCGGCACTACAAGTACCACGAAGTGACACGGTGGCTCCATGATAGCACCAGTTTTGTGAGTCTTCTTCCCATCGTTGGCATGGCAAGAAGCGAGGACCCGGACTTAGGGCCCAGCTCACGCTTTGGCTTGAACTTGCGGAGAGGACGAGGGTCCAAGCCTGCTTTGCAGCTTCTTCTTGGAAGGGGGGGGGGGGCTCAAAGGTGTCTCTGAAGCAGAATCGACACCGGGGTGAGGGCTCCCAGACCTTTCAGGGTTTAGGGTTCTCGGGTTCAATCAAGCTCTATGAGGGTCCGTGATTTCGGGATTTGGGCACTACAGAGGCGATAGCCCTGATGATTACGAAGATGAAGCTGCCCTCCCCAGCTCCTCGCTTGAGCAACACAGGCACAAGGCCAGCATACCCTGAAACCTGGACTCTACACAATGTGCAGATCAAAACTGCCAGCTAGCAAAAACTTTACGTCTCCAGCTGAAAAGAAAAACCTGCAGGAAGGCAGCGAATGCAGTCAGAAATCATAACACAGGAAGGTGCTGGGCTTGGAAAGTCCAACACGAGGCTTGAGCTGGATCCCTGGTTTCAATCATGGAATCTACGTCGCCAGGGGCATAAGAAGTGACTGGCTCCAGAAAGGCAAGATGGCGCCACACCAGAGTGTATAATATAGGGGCCTTAATTAGAATAGAGTTTTGGGGTCCTTTATACTACATTTATAATAAGGAACCCCCAAATTAGCATTGGTAATTATTTAGGCCCCTATATTATAGACCGAAGCTCCGACACCTGAAACAATCCGTCTGGCTGAGGCCCAGACTGGTCTCTTCTGAGATCTCAGCGTCGCTGGGTGGGTCCTGTCGCCGGGACATTGCAATCCCTGCAAGGCATCAAAGCATCAGGCTGACGCTACAAGCAGTAATTATTGCTTGTACTGCTTTCTTGAAGCTGTGGCTCTTGCGACCGCCGATATTATGGGTATGCGTGTCGCTGTGGGCAGCGTAGTATCGATGGCTGCGCGGGCTTGAGATTCATCCTGTCTGGCAAGATCGAAAACTCATCCCCCAGATCATGGCCGGCCGAAAGATGCGCACCGGCCTGTCCTACATATTTATGAGCAAGATCTTGCCGAAATGATTCTGCAGCGCTCAATCACCATGATGGCATTGCTCTGAACCGGAAATGTCCATAGCCCAAGCTCGAGGCCCTTGAGCACGACCACAACCACCCGAGGAACTACTTCATTTCAAACCAGCATCAGTGCCTCGAGGGCTACTCCGGATGCCTGGGAGGCTTGCTCTTGGAGAGTAGTTGGGCTCCGTTCGTGGACGTGCTGCGGGCTTATGCCTGGATTTTACAAGCCTTGGACAGCGCTCGCCTGTTCACTCCATGCACCGATTCTTCGACGAAGGTGTCTAGAGGCGAAGCCGGATAATCTAAGCGGCAAACCTTCCAACCAAAAATCCGAAGCCCCGAATCACTGCACCAACCAGGCCGCATCAACTCAAATCCAAAAAAGGGCCTTCTCCCGGGCTCAGGATGCCTTGGCCCCAGTGGGACCCTGGACCCGGTGCTATTGCTGCTAATTTCAACCATTAACACGGGCACTACTCTTAAGGTTTAGGGTTTAGGGTTTAGGGTTCGGCACTACAGTTATGACTAGTATTGCCATTGCCCTACCCCTAAACTTCCGATAGCTTCGGCTCTAATCAAGTCCTGAACTTCTCGGCCTCTTCCTCGGCGCAGCGTGCCACGGACCGCGCTCTCGGCGCAGGCGGGCGGCCTTCCAATGGGCCATCTAGACAGGAGCCTAAACCACTTGGTGTCGCCGGGCTGACATAATCTTGTAGCTGCAGAACATGGAACAGAGGCTTGAAAAAGCAGGTTTGGGTGGATGCAGGCATACGAAGAAGCTCGATTACTGAAACTCGGTCGGTGTCGCGAGTTCAAGCGAGTGAAACGGAGTGAATTTGTTCTGGTCTCCACCTCAAAACCACTCTGACATGATCTTGTGGTGACTTTTCCTCCTGCTGCGAATCTGTACTTCAGCCGTAAACCAGCCCGTAAACCAGCCGAACAACTTAAAAAAACAAAAGCGAAGCGAGCTGCACACCTGCCACGAAAGACTGGCTGATCCAGCACCCTGCAGCGGATTCGGGTGGCTTTGCTGCTGGCTATGTTGGTGACAGACACACACACACACACACACACACACACGCAGACACACACACACACACACACACACACGCGCGCTCACGCACGCTTACGCACCATGAACTGACTGCACACGCTAAACATCAACCAGTGCAATGGAATCAATCCCAGATCTTTCAGTATCGAATGCTCTTTAAATCTGCTTTGAGAACCTATGTAAGTGCTAAATTGTGTAGTTTATATCTGTACTGCATCACGACGATGTCATGGTGTCATGAGAGATCTGGTATCAAATTTTGAATCACGATGGTAGCACCACTCAGCACCCGGCCGCCGAACAATGCGACCAGAAGGGTAGCTACGAGACCCCGCGGCCGCCGCGAAGCCATTGCTCCCTGTCGCGCTGTAGTTGATGTCAGATGTTGAGGTTTTGAGTAGGGATTTAATGCTTCGGTTCGGCTCGCTGCTTTGGGCATCACGTGCGTCGTTTTGCTTGGCAGTGCCGCCATGTTGTCGAGTCGTTTTTCGTCCTTATGCCGCACGGCATCTGAACTCCACACCGCGCGGGTGAGCACAGACGGCATTCGTTTCAGTAATGTAGAAGCCTTAATGATTAGAATAGGGTTTTGGGGTATATTATACTATCACAATAATAAGGAAGGAAGGTACTGGTAATTATTTAGGCTCCTATAGTTACTAGAGTGCACGTAACATGGCATCGCATGGCATCTCGGGAGGCGCAATGAACGGCCATTGGCCTGAAAAGGACTTTCTGCAAGTTGGGTTTGGGTTTGGGTCGGGAACTCTTTCTCTCGGAATCTACAACCGCACCGATGCTTCGAAAACACCAACGGCTCAACACTCCAAGCCGCAATCCATCATGCCTTTCCCTCACAGAATTCCCCTGGCACCTGCGTGCCGTGTCCGCCGCGTGCGGGTGGCTTGGTGACCCCCAGAACGCAGGAGCCGAGCTTCGGACCGGTAGGCACAGATAGGCTGAGAGAGAAAGGTCACGGTCTAGGGCGAAATGAACTCATGGAAGTTTAGGGGCGGTTGCATCTGCAGCATTCTGGGGATGCTGAGTGAGGTCCGTTGGCCTCTCTAGTCTAGTTAGTCTTTCCCCAAGGCTCCAAAACCCTCGCCCAAAGCCCACCCATACAACCGAGAGGGTATAGATGCTACGACATGCTATGGCCCAAACCTAGGCGAAAACTAGATTTGTGACCCAAATTCAACCGACACAACACTTGCAGTTACATGCTTGCCTAATTCAGGAGAGGAAAGGGCGAGGAGGAGGAAAGGCAGAACTGTTGTCAGCTGTGTCCTGAATGCTGCAGGAGATGCAAGCAGCCACTATAACCAGGCGTCCTTCTGCAGGTAGTAATCCAGGGACCTCAAGTACTTGTTGTGCGCAATCACCACCTGCTTGCGGCTGCTTGAGCTTAGGGGATGATCACGGTATCTTGATTGTTATTGCTGTGGTCTAAAACTGTACTGTTGAGCACCTTATGTTATGATCAACATAACTGTCTATGTTATGTCTAATCACACAAGAAACATCTGATACCAGTATTGTGTGTCTCGCCCACTGTGCTATCCGGCTAAGTGCGTCTATGTACATCGTTACGACAGGTTTAAACAACAGCTATGTTGCAGCACCACATGTTAGCAACCAGCAACGTGCCAGTTGGCTCTGACACAGTGGCGTTGTAGTCCTATCAGACCTCCATACCAACCTACAGATATGCTTGATCAAATTTCTCAACCACCACTTTCTGCAATGAACGGGACGAGTAGCACCAGCAGTTGCCAACAGTCCTCCTCCTCCTCCTCCCCGTCGTCGCCGGCATTGTTGTGCTGCTGTGAGGATGACGCTGATGATGATGATGATGGTGATGATGGTGATGATGTTGATGATGTTGATGATGTTGATGATGGTGATGATGATGATGATGACGATGATGATGCTGATGCTGATGCTGATGCTGATGCTGATGCTGATGCTGATGCTGATGATGATGCTGATGATGATGCTGATGATGATGATGATGCTGATGCTGATGATGATGATACTGCTGATGATGATGATGGTGATGATGATGATGATGATGATGATGATGATGGCGATGGCGACGAACTTGAAGACGATTATGACAAAGTGACCCCGTGGAGTATGAGGATTGGGAGAAAAGTGGAGTGCACAGATGCTGATTCTGGTTCTAGACTCTCTGACAAAACGTCTCGTCTTACATGCACAGTCCCGCTGTCTTTCAGCCACGGATGCGCCGGCTGCGTGAGCTGCTAGACTCTTCTGGGCCACTGGCGCTTTCGCCCAAGCCCAAATCTGTTAACCACAGGCTGCCGTTTGCGATGTGAATGGCAAGTTCATGCTTCTTCGTTTGGCGCAGTGGCGGTGAAACGAGATTGTCCCAGTACGAGAACGAACGGTGAAATCTGGCATGCAGAGCCAAATTCAGGTCTTCCAGCTTCCACCTGTTTCGAGTGCAGCTTCCATCCACCCCCGGTAGCACTGTGAACAATCTCCAGTCATGGTATCTGGAGCTCCCAACTGCTGCCAAAGGCAAACCCGCGGTCCGTACTTGTGGAAGCAAGGACTCAGAACTCTACACCAACTCACAAGCGCAGATGTGGTCTCACCTCAGTGGAGTGACGGGGAGTTACTTAGTAGCGACAGGGATGGATCGTGATAGGTGATGATGGTTATTCTGGTGGGACTGGTGATGTTGATGATGACGACGACGAGGCTGGTACTGCTAATGAACATTGAGGCGAGGAGCAGCAGGACGCTCACCATGATGGTGGAAGCTACCAAAACAGCAGGCCACCAGGCCGATGTGCTGCACACTCAAGAACCCCTGGCGGAGCAAGCCCTGAAATGTGAAGAGCCATGGGCAATATCACAGTTCACGTAAGTTCGCATAGAGTAGCAACTAAGTTGCTTGTTCCAGTTGAGCATAAGCATACGACAGGGATGTGTGAATAGCCATGTGGCTCCCGGCAAAGCCTGAAACCCTGCCATGCTCCTGTATTCAGACTCCGGAAGAATCACGGTTGCCAGTCAGGAGGCTGGAAAAGCGCTGCGAACTCACGGTAGTCCAGTTTCTGATCCTTGTCTTTGTCAAGCTCCTTCGAACTGCGGCGACGTCTGGCGTTACCAGAATTTAACACGCCGCATATTCCGTACATCCCGGATAGCTTTTCGAACCAGATCCAAGAACTTCCGGGATTCCACTTCAACCACTCGACTGCACTTGGTAGGAGAGGCTTCCCTGAAATCGAAGTGTGCCTAATCATGTTCGCGCCTACCATCGATCGCTACATTAACGGACGAATAACTACGCAGATGTACTTTGTGCAAACATGCCTATTGCCACAAAGACGTAAACAAGCAAGATCGTATGTTCACCTGTCTATCTTACCAGCTATCTATCCATCCGTCCATCCAGCTAGCTACCTACCTACCAATCCATCTATCTATCTATCGATCTGTCTCTCTGTCTGTCTATCTTTTATCTACCTATCTATCAGTCTCATGGAAAACTTGGCGTGTACCTGCACACACATGAACTCAGATTGTACAGCCGAAGCCTAAACACAAAGCCCACATGAAAAGGCATGCGGGAAGATGAGTACAGGCATGCACGTGTAACGGACAAAGGCACAGTCGGATGCCTGAACTGAAGTGAGGAAACGACAGGGAGGCAGAATGGCACAGGAAAAGTGGAGAAAGGCAAAACAGCTCGGCCAGTAGCCCGGGGTTGTCCTCGATCAGTCGCTCGATCTTGATGGTCATTCCAAACTCATCCTGCAGCAGGCAAGGCAAGGCAAGATGCTCTCGTATTTGGCCTATTCTACCCCAGTACTTCCAGCTGCCAAAGGCTCTAAACCAAGCATCCCTGCGATGCATCTACGTGGCATGGGACTTTGTGCGAAAACCTCGCTTCATCGACGGGTAAGATGACAAGATGACGAGATCATGCCTTGCTTGTGGAGCTCTGCTTCCACTGGCAGGACTGTGCTTTGCTGCAGCCCTGCATGTAACATTGCGAAGTTGCACAGCTCACCTCCAGCATTGAGGAGGCAAATCTGCATCCGTTCGTGCTTCATCAGCCATCGCATCATCATCATCATCTTCTTCTTCTTCTTCTTCATCTGTAGCCCGTAGGCAGTTCGAGCCTTCACGACCTGAATCAATCGCTGCGTGTCAATGTAGCCTGTCCTGGCATGGCTGAGGCAATGGCAAGGTGCAGCTGCATCTGTATGTTTGAGATTGCGGCCGAAGTGTTCGGCAAGGCTTGCTGCTGTCATGCTGCTAGACAGCTGTCAAGCATGCATCTTGGCTCCTCTACTACTGCTCTCCTCCAAAGTGGAAGCGAAAGGCAACAGAAACGAACAACCCTAAAAGCGGAAGGAAATTCGGCTTGGCGGGCTTGTCAGGCTCTCCCCCGAGTGCCACGAAGGCATCGATGGTATCCAGCTCATCCTCGAGCTCCTCCACAGCAAACGGGGTGGAAGGAACCATTTTACGTCACTTTCTCCTTTCTACGCAGGGCAGCCGCCTTCAGTGCCAGAGCAAAAAAGCTGTCACAAAAAGGGCCTGCGCTCCCCCTCGCTGCTTCTCAAAGGCACGCAGGAACTCTGCAAACTCGATCTCCCCGGTCCTCGGTCTACATTTAAAACCGGATTTTGTAGTAGTTGTCCTTGAACTCTACAAATTCTCTGTCCAAGGCAAAGAATTGGCTTCTTGCTGTCATCGCAGCCGGATATGCCCAACTGTGTGCAGAAGAAGTTCAGAAGGCAATCGGAGCACAAGGCTTGCCGAACACGACGGCATGTTTACGCGCATTGCCAATATTTCTTGCGACTTCAGAGTCTTTCTTCTGACGACACGTCTTGGCGGAGAAAACCCTCAAACTAGGGAAGCTGTAACTTATCACTGCGAATACCTGACTGAATGGTACTGCGTGGTACAACCGAAGCAAACCACCTTGTAGACCTTCCCGCAGCTTTGATGATGCTTGGGCATGCGCCCGTCTTCATCCACATCTGCCATGAAACGGAACAACTCCTCCTCGCTCGGTGCCTGCAGATCTTGTCTGTCCGAGTTCACAACCCTGTTTGATGGAAACACTGATTACATGGTGACAAGTACTGACATCTAGCCGCTGTTAATGGCAAGTTGCTACGTGCCTCTCAGCGATAGAGAACCTGTTTCTCACAAGATCAATATAGAGCACCGGCATAAGCGTGCAGGCAGGAGACTGGACTCTGTGGGGATCTAAGCCGATTAAACATTTGCAAGCTTCATGGTTCATAGATAGATAGGTAGGAAGGTAGGTGGGTAGATAGATAGCAAGAACGACAGAAAGAATGATGGATAGATGGATAGATAGATAGGTAGATAGATGTAGAGAGAGAGCGAGAGATCTAGAGAAACAGATAGATAGACGAACAGAAAAACAGACGGACAGATGGACGGACGACGGACGCACGGACCGGACGGACGGACAGACGGACAAACAGATAGACAAACAGAGAGACAAAGAGACAGAGAGACAGATAAGTAGGCCCATGAATGGACAACTGACTGGATGGACAGATAGATGGACAGATAGCTAGCGTTAGACAGATCGATAGATAGATGATTAGCTAGGTCGTTCAACAGGAAGAAATCAGCATCAGAAGCTACAAGAGCTTCCAGTAGCTTCAGGAGGCCAAACAAAGTGCCCTAAAGAAAGGGAATTCCTAAGTTGCTGCAACTACATGAATGGATTTCGTCGCAGACAACTGCCCACAACAAGAGAACATGTCCTGATTCGCAGCTTTCACGTTTGGGTTGTGCATTCGAGCTGTTGGGAGAACACAGAGATTGGCCGGCTGGTAGCACAATCCGCGCCTCACCGATAGCTTCCAGAAGGAGCTTCATTTCCTGTGCCAAGGACGTACGGACAGGTTGCAGTTTATCTGGGACTATTACCGTGGCGTCTTCGATCATCACCACTGCCATCATGATCAGGATACTGGTCAGCATCCTCATCATCAAACAGCATCATGGTGGTCACCCCAAATGACCATCTTCCACCATCGTGCTCCTGCTCATCTTCCCCACCATTGATTCTTCGGGTGATATCCGACCCAGTGCAGAAACGAGTACTAGACCTCCTGCACTGATTCACAAGCCTCATAAACGCGAGGCCGACATTGCCAAGAAAGCTGGAACAATGGAATAGCCATAGCCATCACATTCCGAAATCCGGCATCCTCGACACCACAATCCAGATTTCAAGAAGCCCTCAGGCTCAGAGGAGAGCAACTGCACCCTGCACTCTTGCACAAGTCTCCAAGCCTTCCCTAGCAGATGTTCCGAATCACATCCCGAACGGACGCCTGCGTATCAATTGTGCCGCTGCCATCTTGGTCGAAGGTGTTGAAGGCCTGTCATTCTAATGCGTCAGGGATGAGGAACCACGAGGTTTCGAAACCGCAATTCTGTAGCATGCAGGAAGTTGCCATTGCAAACAGGACGAACACAAAGCTGAAAGGGATGTCAATCAAATTCGTCAGCTGGCGAACCTCCCGGCACTTCTGGATGAACTGCTCATCAAGCACCATGTCTCCTTCTGAAGCGTTGTTGACAGCTGAGCTGTAAGGTTGAATTTGCTAACCGCTTGATGTCAAAGACGGCGGTGATCATACTGCTAGTCATGAAGTAATGCGTAACGATGAGTAATGACAATGAAGTTATGCGAACCTGAAGCACGCTTCACAGGCTGAGTTCTTGGGCCAACTCTCACGGCAGCCGCTCCCCAAGCCCGCGACTAACGAGTCTAAGACGACAAACGAGCTTTGCAGATGCATTAGGGCAAAACCAACCGACATGAAACGTATACCAAGCCGAGTCGAATATTGTGATTTGGGGTTCATCTTCTCATGCCAGAGCTGGCCCCTTCAGGTGGGCTTCCCCGGCTGCCATAAGGAACTTCGGAACTAGCACTAGGAGTCTTTCCATTTGATGAGGGCTCAGTGAAGTAGAGAGAGACAAAGCATGGGGACAAACGAGAAGTACTGGAAAGCGAATCCCCGACCAATGCGTGAGTTACTGAGATCTTATGTGCACAGTAGCTCGCGGCATTCGGCTTGTACCAGGACCAAAACTGTCATCATGGGTCCCCTGGGTGTGCCAGAATCTCCAATGACAGAACCCACCAGCCGGCACCTTCTCCGGACGATGTTTGTCGCGGATGTGGGGACAGCCGTTGCTACATCAGAAGCTCAAACGGCTCTGGCGCATGCAACTAACAACTCGCCAAGGCCGCTTCACTGCAGGCTGCTATGCACAGCTCTTGAACCCAGACCAAGAGCTCTACTCTTTCCCTCTGCCAAACACACGGTTCACCGTGCCTGTTCCATGCACTTCTTGAGCGCCTCGCCGTAGAAGGGATGGAAGGTCTGGAGAGCCTCGCAGAACAGTTGCAGAAGTTGTGGAAAGGATCTCTGGCCTCCAACGCCTCACTGTTATGAAGACATACAGCCTGTCAGAGCATGCGGTGGCCCAACTCCTGGCTGCTAGCTGGTCTGGACTTGGCAAGCAACATCCAGAGTCCGCAGCCGCAGCAGCAAGCGAAGCATCTGTTGCATTCCGTGAAACTAGCCTGGATCCGCACCGAGCAGATTGCAAAGGAAGTCCTCTGCTTCTTGGCTACAGTACCAGAGAGTTGGGAAAAGGAAAGCTCGACGCGAGTCCTTCCTTCTTTGCCAGCAGATGTTCTGAAAGCAGGTCTTGCTAGGTACATGTACAGCAATGCACGCATGGTCAGCACTGAGCCGAACCCTGGTTCAGCCCCAGGGCGAGGCGGGGGGGGGGGGGGTT